GGTGAGAGGTGCGAGAAAAATGAGAGAAATGGATGTAAAAATGGGGTTATAAGTAGGGCTGTCAAAATTTGATACGACACGAATTAAACGGGTTTGGGTGATAAACGGGTTGACACGCCAAACACGTTTAATAAATGGGTTGTGTTCGGGTGAGACCTGTTAAACTGTTTATCACACGTTTACCTGTTTAAATAAAATTAATATAATAATAAATTAATAATTATTCAAAAAAATTAGCAAGAAAAAAGAAGTAAAGAAATCAATAAAAAAAAAAAGTAAAGTAGTAGTTTAAAGACAAATGAGAAGAATTAGAGAACACTTCAAAGGCAAAGGCAAACAAATATTTTTTGTTTTTGTCCCATATTGAAAAATGAGGGGAGATGAGGAGGGTTGAATTGCCTATAAAAGACAATGACCTCTTGCTTTTATTTTTAAAGCCTTCAAGTCTTATTTTTCAAAGACAAATGAGAGGAGTTGTAGAGCACTTGAAAGACAAAGACAAACCAATATTTTTTATTTTTGTCCCACATTAAAAAATGAGGGGAGATAAGGAGGGTGAGTTGCCTATAAAAGGCAATAACCTCTTGTTTTTTTTTTTTTTTTAAAATCTTCAAGTCTTATTTTTATGAGATTTGATTTAAAATTTCTCTTTTTTGAGGTAAGTGCAATTAGTAGTAAAAAAAAATGGAGTATTAAAATTTGTTGATATAATTTTTTTAAAATTAAATGGGTTAAACTAGTCGTGTCGTGTTACCCATTTATTAAATGAGTCGTGTTTGTATTGAGATTTTTTACCCGTTTATTAAATGTGTTGTGTATGAGTTTATATGTTTTCACCCGTAACCCGTTTAATTCAACACGTAACCGTTTAACTCGACACGATGGACACTCCTAGTTATAAGGGCTGAAATTCGCGTCGGGTACTATTTACTGGACACAAAAAAAAATGTATTTTCTCCAAAATTACGATTTTGCCCTAAAACTTCTCTAATTTGATCTGTATGACTACCCTAAGGTTTTTTGACGTTCCGAATCAATTTTTAATGTTATTTTAGGCTAAAAACATTTATTTTTATGAGTTCTATACAAATTCAAGCCAAATTATACCCAAAATGTCAAATTTATAATTTTTATCCTTTTGAACCACTATATGAGTTAAACGTCTATTCCAAAAATTTTGGACTTCCCAAATTTAATGTTAATGTTATTTTTACACAAAAAACTTAATAAATTTACTTAATTACTCTTATCAACCTTAAATAGCTCAAAAATTAAATTTGACCCAATAGTTTATATGCATGTAGCTAAAACTAATTCAACTATTCATTTAAAAATGATTCGAAATTTTTTTCATCATTTTAAAAACAATATCAAATTAATATCATTTATATGAAATATGGGATCACATAGTCTCAATCTGATTATCCTGTGCAACTACATACTGATTTTCAATTGCCATTATTTTCTTTCTCTATGACAGTCAAATATGTCAAAAACATTTATTTATAGCATATATATTTCTGTTAAAAAAATAAAAAACCATATATGATTTATAAAAATATTAATCAAAAAAAGATATACTAAAAAATAGAAATCAAAAAACAAAGGATACTCAAACTTTTATGAATAACAAACTGGGCAAACGTATCAAAAAACCCTAACCTAAAAGGGTTCACCTTCTATTATTCTATATAGTGGATTAAAAACAAAAAGTCCAAACACCCCCCCCC